TCTGTGGTGGGAGCAGGGTGGCACTCCAGTGCCCTGGACAGTGTGCACCTGCTGCTCCCTTTGCTGGCCACTCTAAGCTTTGCTGGGCTCTACCAGAACAGGGCACATTCTGGAATGATCCCAGTGTTCAGGACAGGAATTCATAACATTTTTTGGTGCTAGGAACCTTCTGCAGAACACCATTCTGCAGAAACCCACCTGTTCATGTGTAAAATTCTAGCTTCAAACCCTTATATTCTACAACGGATCTGTGTTCAGATGCCACCCGTTGCCACTAATTAGTTCTGCAGCGTCAGGCAGGTCACTTATCCCCTAAACACATCCAACTCATCTTCTCATCTATCGAACAGGACACCTGCCTCACAGGTAATGAGATAATTTGCCCCCAGTGCCAGCCCCTAGGTTAGCAGACGCTCATTCTCTTCCTGACCAGGCTTTGTCATTAACGCTCATGAGAAAAAGTTAGATGCACGTGAGTTCCCCCTCTGCTCCTCAGCCCCTCGTGGGGGAAATGACCCCAAATCTGAGGAGCAGCAGTGACCCATGTCTACGTGAGTCCACAGGCTGGAGCTGGCCCTGGCCTAATGGCAGCAGGAGTGAAGACTCCCTCGTCGACACAGGGAGGGCAGAGCCCTGAGGTGGGAGAAGGTGGTCAGAAACTCCCAGGGCTGCAGGGAAGGCCAGGCTGCCCAGGGTTCAGCCATCTCTTCTCTCCCTCCTCCCTACCCCAGTCCCTCTCCCCTTGCCCAGCCACTGTCCAGGAGGCCTCTAAGCAAATGGAACCGGCAGAGGTGCTGGGGCTGTGAGTCCTGGAGGCCCAGGCCCCGCGCAACCATCTACAAGGGAAGGCTGGAACAGTGGCCAGTCCACTGGCAGCAGGGTACCTTCTAGACAGGCCTGTCTCCTACAAGGGAAGAGACTGGACATTCGCTCTTTCTTTCAACCAGTATTTATTGAGCACCAAGTTTGTGCCAGGCGTGATGCAGGATGCTTCACATACACTGGACAAGTAGTCTCCTTGGAGGCTCTCTGCAGCTGGCCTCGCTGGCTCTGTTACACTCGATGACTTGGACACTCAGAGAGGCCAAAGAGCTCCCAGATTTGCACAGCATGTGGTAGAGCCGTGACTTGAACCCACATCAGACTGGTCTCAAAGACTCCGGGCTCCAGGCCTCTCTGCCTGATATGAAGTGAGTATGTCCATTTTGTGCATTTTGTGAACCAGCCAGTCCAGAAGCGAGCACCCGAGCAAACCTGACTGAGCCTGCTACTCAGGAGCAAAAGGGCTGGAGGGCACTGGCCTCCCAGTGAGGATCCCCTGGAGATGTCCACCCGTCTCCCCTGGGAGCAGGGAGTTCTGCTCCCTGGGAGTCCCCCATCAGGGAACTGAGTCTAATTAACTGGTCCCTGCCCCCAAGGGGAGGTGGGCTGTCCCCCACGTGTGGGCCTGGAGCCCCGTGCCCACCACCTCGTCTCCATCTCTATGCCTCCACCAACCGCTCTACTCTCTGCTGCCCCCAAGGGTTTGATGGAGACTTTCATGAACTTGGTGGATGTTTGCATCACCAGACATGAAGCCCCCAGTGGCTCATGTCCCCTGGGTCTTGTAGCCCTCTAACACTAGGGGGAGAAGATGCAGGCACAGCAAGCCTAGGGCTGCATCCAGAGCCCCAAACAAAAACCAAACAAGACTGGAGGACACTTCCAGGGGAACCAGATGTAAAGTGATGGATGTTATTTTGTGCCTGTGGGGCCGCAAACTGCAAACTCCACTGAGGACTTTCTGGGGGTAACTGGAAGCATATGCCATCCCTAGGACAAAAAGTAGGATAACTTTTTTATCTTAAAAATGGTGCTTTTCAAGTAGAAGGGACTTCCTTAGAACTGCCATTATTTGTGAACACTAGGTGCTCATTCCTCACAACAACCCTAGTAATGTGGTGTTGCTATGCCCAGTTTAGAGCTCCAGCCACTGAAGCTCAGAGAGGCTATGTAACTTGTCGAAATCACACAGTCCCATTCATTCGTCTGACTTCAGAGCTTGTGATCTTCACATCTAGACTGCAGTGTTTTACATGGTGACCCTGCCTTACAGGTCCACCATTACAGAATAGGATCTTGCCAATAGGTTATGTGTTCCAGGGACGTGGTTCAGCTCCTTTCTGTCCTTACTCTTGTCACATGATTGGTTGCTTGGTTTATGTGGCCCAGTTCTTAGGGGTACTTGACAACACTGTCCTGAGGGGCTAACCCTGTGTCCTCCAATTAATTAAATCTAAATTTATCATAAACCCAAATCAATCAGAAAGTCCTAGTGTAGCGTCATACCTGTGGCCTTTTATTAAATCAGAATTGCCAGAAGTTCACAAAATCCTTGAACTGTAGCATAAGAAACTAAAGGTAGACATAAAGAAGACCTTTTCAACCAAAAGAGCATTTCACCCTATGGTAAGAGAAGAAGAGAGAAGAGTTTCTCCTTCAGGGACTGCTGTCTCCTTCCCATCTAGCTGGAGTTGGCCAATGGAGTGAGGTTCTCCCTGGCAGTGACAGCTGAGAGCTGGGCCCCCTCCCCACTCCCCAGTCCCCCACACAGCTTTTACTGGTGCCCTCGGTGACCCTCCTTCCTCTGGCAGCTCTTCCTGATCTTGACATGGGGCGGGAGCAGGGCGGGAGGGTGTGCCCGCCTAGGGCTTTCGGGGTGAGCCCTGGGATTACGGATCCTGAGGCCCTCTGTCACTGTTGCCCCAAACCCGGTGCACCGTGTGAGAAAGTGCTCCCGCCCTCGCTGGCCAGGTCCGTGCCGTGCCCCGCTCTGCCACCCAGCCTTGACGTTCTGAGTCACTCTCGGGGAGCAGCAGCCAACAAGGGGATCAGAGATTCTGCAGAGAAGGGCCGTCAGCATTTCAGGAAGAGGCCGCGAGGGCAAGAAGAGGGCAGGGACTTAGAACAGGGGAGGGGTCTGGCCCAGGGCCCTCTTCCCCAGGGCTGCAGAGCTGCCCACTTGGTCTCTTCCCTGGGCATGTGCCAGCAAGGGCTCCCCAACTTCTGGCAGAGAAATTACTCTTGCAACAAAGTAACACAGGGAAAGCAGAGGTTAGAGGAGGGACCCAAGCTCCCTGCAGCCTGCTATCCTCCGGGCCCCCTAGAGCACCCCTGGGGTCCCCAGGTCCCAGGAACTCTGTATGAAAACCTCAGCAAGGATTTCTGAGTAATATGATGTGGATCGGAGCTCCTGGGTGGCAATGTAACGGCTGAATTTTATTTAACTTAATGTTTCATTAAAACTGACCATTGTTCTATTTCTAAACCCTAATTTTAAATTCAATAAAGTTTTTTTTTCACTTTGGTATTGGTTTATGGTGGCTTTTAGACAGGCCCTTCCCTCTCTCAGCCCATCTTCTCACCTACGAGATGACACGTTTAGACAAGATTATATTTAGCACTTTCTCTAGCTCCAGTACCTCCTGCTTCTCCGTTTCCTTTTCTGAACAAGTAGCATCAACCAGTGGTTAACGGCTTGGACTATGCAACCAGATTGCTTGGATTCCACACCCAGCTCTGCTACTTACTAGCTGTGTGATCCTCAACAAATCACTTAACCACTCTGTGCCTTTTCTTTCTCATCTGCCAATGGGGATGATAACAGTGCGTCTATCAGAGGTTATTGGGAAGATTGAGTCTGTTTGAGGCTTAGCAGCACCCAGTAGGCACTCAGAAAACTTTAGCTCTTATCACTAAAGCGTGCACATCAGAGCGGTCTGCACCCCTGAGAAGAGATGGGTCATCCTGCGAGTGTGGCTGACTCCCAAACTCAGGAGCACCCGGGTGAGGGAAGCAGACTCTTCCACTGCTCGCCCTTGTGTTCTAAGCCATGCTGAGGGTTCCGGCCAGAACCCCTCTGCTGGCACCCCTTGCCCGGCAGAAACTTGTACCAGCTCCCCAGACTCCTCTGAGGAGGGCCCCATGTCCAAGATCCAGCGACAGCCAGGCGCTCTCCAGGCAGGCGGGAGGGCCCAGCGCAGCCTGCACACGGGACAGGAAGGAGCTGGTGGCAGCACTGGGGCCCGGAGGCCAGGCTGAGCAGGCAGCCTGCGGGAACTGCAGGAGCATAGATGGAAGAGGGGGTCCCGCTGGGGCAGAGAGCTCTGGAGCTGAAGGGGGTGGGAGGAGTCTGGTGAGAGGCAGAGGCAGGGGCAGAACGGAGGTGGCTTCAGGGGAGGAAGGACTGAAGGCTGGAAATGGCACCCCCAGGGCCTCGGACCCACCCCCAACAGCTGTCTTCACATTAGACCAGCTCAGTGGCAGTGGGCTTGAGGGTTCATTCTGATGATCATTGAGCCTCAATTGCCTCATCTGTAAAATAGGGGATCACATACCCCCCCATCAAATTCTGAGGTGAAATAATGTATTTGTAAACCATAAAATTCAATTGAACGTGCATTGGCACGGATGACTGAATAAGGGGGCTGAGAGAGAAACCATCTCACTCCAAGAAGGTGGGAATCCAGAAGTCAAGGAGAAGGGAAGTATGCTTAACTCATGTTTTCCTCACAATCCTGATTTTACAAAGGAGGCAACTAAGACTCAGAGTGGTTGATCGACTTGCCCAATGTTGCATAGCTAGTAAGTGGCAGAACTGGAATTTAACCTGAGTCTGCCTAGTTCTGAAGCCCAGGATCTCTGCACTGAACAAATCATGCTGCCTGCCCCTCAGAGAAGTGAAGGGCTGAATGAGCACCAGGGGGCATGCTGAGTGACAGGCAGCCGCCCAGCAGCTGGGTCAGGCCTTCAGCAACTTCCATCCTCCCTCAGAGCCTCAGGGTCCTCCCACAGCTACACACAGGCCCTGGGGGGAGCAGCAGCATAGAGCAAATACACTTTGGCCCTCAAGGTGACCGGGACATAGTGAGTGTGTGGTGGTCAACCATCCGGTGCTTATTGACATGACTCACTTCCCAGGCAGGACAGACTGCAGCCACAACCGCTGACTGGAGTTGAAGTTTATTGAGACATATCACAGGCACAGACCGGGTACGCGGTGGAGGAGGGGGTGGGTGACTGGGGAGGTTGGAGGATTTGGGGGAATCACTCTTCACTTCCCCCTTCCTCCCCCGCCGGCCCTGGATTCCCAGCAGAAAGGCAGAGGTGGTGAGCAAGACAGAGGTGGCCTGGGACACCCAGTCTCCTCTCAGTGGTCACCATCAGATCACTCGACCATGCTGCTCAAGATGAGGACCTTAACCTCCCAACCCACAGCACCTCCCAGGAGAAAAACTGGATAGATTTGAGCCCTTCCCCCAATACAAAGCGTACCCAAATAGTGTGGTGTGAAAATACACTGGGTCTGTGGTCCCCAGGGCTGTTCCTGAGAAGGTTGGAGAGGATAGCAGGGATGGGGATGGGGCAGCGAGAGGACTGCAGGGCCCCCGGCATGCCTGTCTCAGCGGCTAGTACCTCCTGCTGGACGTCTTGACCGTGGTGGTCTTCCGCAGGATGGAGGTGCCCCCGGAGCCGGCCCCGCCTTTGACATTGCCGTAGCCCACGTTCGTGCTGAATCCAGCCTTGAAGCCAGCCCCGCTCCCACCTAGGGAGACGCCACCCCCAAAGCCAGCCGCACTGCCTCCAACCATGGTGGTGGAGTTGCCAGTCACAGCTGCAAGGCAAAGGGTCTGGATTAGGCCAGAGGCAGTGCCAGGAAAGGGCTGGCAGGGCAGGGCGGGGCAGGGGGGGCAGAAGATCATCGAAGGACTGGAACATGGGAAATTTCCCATGGGAACTGGGGAGGGGAGCCCAGCACAGGGAGCTCGCTCTCTGGGACGCTCTGAAGGAGAGCACACTTTAGGGCAGGTTCAGGTTGAATGGACAGAGTGTTCTGGGGCCAGGCCAGGGGTGGGGCAGGAACGGAGCAGCAAATACTCACAAATGCTGACAGCGCTGGGACATTCTCCAGACATCCTAGGGAAGCAGAAAGGCCAGGAGAGGGGTCAGTGACCCCAGGAACCCGGGAGAAAACCCGCATTAGATTACATTAGACTGGATCAGGGCCAAGATCAGGTGACAGTAACAAGACCAGGAGACATAAGTGTGTGCATGCAGCTGGACTGAGACCCGTGGGCCTCCCATCATGTCCCAAACCAGTCCTCTGGGACCAATGGCCCTCCCAGCACATCCTCTGGCCACGCCCCCACACACACCTGCCTCCCCCACCCCAGGACCATGGATGGCATCCCAGCTCCAGGAGAGACAAAGTCCCTGGCCTCACAGAGCCGCCCCAGTCCTGCCCTCTTCCTCTCCACATCATGCTGAGGGAGATGTGGTTTTGTGGGGGTTTGGGTTTTTTTCAAAGTTTATACTGGCTTCCTTTCTCCCTGGCTGCGGCCACCCGCAAGATTAAGGATCAAGTTTGTACCACCCAGGAAATAAGCAGCAGAGGCAAGGAGTCCATGAGGGGAGGGAAGTGTCCCCGAGGTGAGTCAGGACCCCCTCCCGGTGCTTCCTCCTCCCAGGGGACAGGGACAGGAAGCCCTCAGTGGGGCAGAGGGGCCACCACCTGCTCTCCTCGCTCTCCAACAGCTTGCGGTAGGTGGCAATCTCCACATCCAGGGCCAGTTTGACGTTCATGAGGGCCTGGTAGTCACGCAGCAGCCGGGCCAGGTCCTCCTTAGCCTGGTGCAGGGCCGTGTCCAGATCCCCGAGCTTCTTCTTAGCATCCTTGAGCGCCATCTCCCCACGCTGCTCCGCTTCGGCGATGGCCGCCTGCAGCTGCTGACACTGCCCCAGGGGTGAGAGGTGTTGGGAGCACCCTCTAGGGTCATCCCATTCATCTCTCTGCCCTCAAGTCAGGAGTCACCTTCCCCAAGTCCCTGCCCCAACCAAGGGGGAAAGAACAGAAAGAGAAATATGCCTCTGAAAGAAGGATTATTAGAAAGCAGGATCATGTGGCAGCACTGGGAAGCCTTGACTGAATTCTAACTTCAATCCCTCCAGCTGCAGCTCAGACCAGTGCTTCAGAAGAGATAGAATAAATGATGCAATCTCACTATTAGCCAAAGTCTTCGTTCTGATCTGGAGAAGAATTCGTGCTTTTTAGCCATACCCTAGATGGGGTTAGCCTCTGTGACCTGGATTCTGGAACCTTCTGCCTCCTCCAAGAGATGGGATGGATCAATCTCCTTAGAGGAAGTAGCCAACCTGCTCTACCACTTATATGCTGTGTGACCTTGGACAAGCCCCTTCCCCCAAGTCTCTGGGCCCCAGTTTCCTATCCTGTAAGTGGAACACATTGACCGTGATGGTCCAGCATCTGAGTCGTCCCATCTATCAGAAGAAGAGCCGGCCTTGCCCCTCAGGGTGACCATGGAAGAAGGCCCTCCAGCCCTGCCAACACCTGGCCTGACCACAAGGCCCAGAGAGAGGCCCACCTGCTTCTTGGCCGCATCCACCTCACTCTGCAGCCTCTGGATAGTGCGGGTAAGCTCCGCAATCTCGTTCTTGGTGTCCCGCAGGTTGTCCCCATGCTTCCCCGCCGTCACCTGCAGCTCCTCGTACTAGAGCCCAAAGAAGCAGCAGTGAGCATCAGAGAGTGAGCACCAGGACCACGTGGGTAACCACTGGCCCCAGAGCCACCTGCCAGTGGAGGCCTGTGGAGGCTGAGTATACCTGGTCCCCAGGGCTCCCACGTCCCAGTGGCCCAGGCCATCGGAGGTCTATGCCCAATCCCTGACCAGCCGTTCTTCTCACCTTGGTCTGGTACCAGGCCTCGGCCTCCGCCCGGCTCCTCTGGGCAATCAGCTCATACTGGGCCTTGACCTCGGCAATGATGCTGTCCAGGTCCAGGCTGCGGTTGTTGTCCATGGACAGGACGACATTGGTGTCAGACACGTGGGTCTGCACTTGGCTCAGCTCCTGAAGAAACACAAACAGCTACTACCAGGGTGGGGTGGGGAGCAGGGGACAAGGACAGTCATGGTATCAGGAGGGCAACCCTAGGCTTCCCCAGGAACCCCCCTATAAAGAACCCATGACTGCAGGAAGAGGCTTCGGTCTCCCTGCTTGTCACCTGGGCTCCCATTTTTATAGGCTTCATTTATTTTTGTACATTTGCAGGCCACCAAGAGATCAGAGAGGAGAAAGAGAACACACACTTTCTGCTCTAACGCACTTTCTGCATCTAAGGCCCAGATGGCTTCCTCTGATCACTCCAGACTGTCCTGATACTCTTGGGCCCTTCCTGAGTTTCTAGGGTCCATCTGCAATTACATGCAAGCAGTGAAGGTGACAGAGAGGGAAGATGATAGGGAGCTGAGGGTCTCTGTGTCCTGGTCACTGGATCATGATTACATTGGCCTGGGCTGCCACCAATTGCCCTAAATCCCACTACCCTGCCCTTAAGTTGGGTCTCCTTAAGTTGCTTAGGGCCTCATTAAACTGCTGAGACTGGCTTTGAACTTGTGATCCTCTTGCCTCAGCCTCCCAAGTCCCTGGAGTTACACTGTGCCTGGCTACACTGGAGTTTTCAAATAACTAAATTGGGTTAGCAGGTAGTTGTGGTGGAGCGCTTGTTTAGCATCATGGGGGCCTGGATTCCATCCCCAGCAACACACACATGAAAAAAAAAATCTAGATCAAATAACTAAACTGAAAGTTTACCCAGTCTACAAAGGACCCAGAGCAGGGCATTACTAGTATAGTGGAGAGCGGAATCAAGATTCTCCATGCCCACATGGCTTCAAATGATGAGATGAAACCATAGGAAAGAAAGAAAATTATTAACTCCTGCATTCTGTTCCAAAAATTCAACTCCCTAAATACAGAAAGTTGGAGAAGAATTGATGCCAGTCTTCCTTGAAAACATTCATGTGAAAAAATCCAAGGGTTGTCCAGGGATAAGATGGCTTCTATAAAGAATACACAGACTGGGGCAGCATTACGCTGCATGGATGGACATCAGTTCTCCCTCCCAACCCTCTGTTTTCTGACTACTTCATTTAGAATCCTGTCTCCTGGAAAGCACCATAGCAGATATCTGTAATCCTTACTGCTTAGGAGGCTGAAACAGGAAGTTTGCAAGTTCAAAGCCAATTTGGGCAACTTAGGGAGACTCTGTCTCAAAATAGTTTTCTATTTTATTATTCTTTTATTTTATTATTTTATTATTATTCTCTTTTTAGGGCTGGGGGTGCATAGCTCCATGGTAAAGAGCCCCCGGGTTCAATCCACCAAAAAAAAAAAAAAAAACTGTTTCCTGAAGTTTCTCACAGATTTTTTGTTCCTTCATCATCCTGGCCACTAAAAGACTGTTGTGGGAAAGACGAGTGTCACATGGAAGACAACTGGATACATGTAGCCCAGAGGGCAGAGTCAGGACCAGTCAAGAGACGAAATGGGAACAAGATTCAAGTCAGGTTTCTAAGAGAGCACTCAACAATGGCAATGCCTACCCTCAAAAACAGTGAGTTCCCTGCACTAGGAGTGTTCTAGGGGAAGCTACCTGACCCCTGTCAGGGAGGTCATAGGAAGGTTCTTACACTGGACCCAGGATTAGCCTTATGGTCCCTGATGATCTGAGGAGCCTACGATTCTCTGGCCACTTTGTGTTAAATTCAACCCTGTCACCTTAGTCTCCAAGGCTCCCTGTCTCCTGGGACCCCACTTGGATCCTTTGATCTACCCACTGCCCCCACCTCATCTCCTGCCACAATCTGGAACCCTTTCCCTCCTCTCTGCCCATCTCTGCTCCTCCATCCTTTGCTCCAATACAAACTGGATAGGAAGAGGGCGACTGAACAGTGTGATGAGAGCCAGATTCTGGAGTTCAAAGTCAAGTTTGAATCCTTACACTGCCTCATCCTAGCTCTGTGACAGTGGACAAGTTACTCTTTGTGTCCTTGACTATGAAGCAGAGACAACAACAGTACCTACTTTAGGAAGTTGTGGAGAGGATTCTCTAAGAGGCTTGACAGGTGCCTGGCCCATGGAGAGCACTTCATGCATGGAAGGCAGCGCTAATTAAAGGATTAACATCCCATCTTTTAACAAGTTGCACTGGTAAATTCAGTTCTGATCTCCGTGGGGAGTCCCCAGCACTGTAAGGGAATCCTCCCTGTCCTTTGGCCACCTCACCATTTCGTAGAGAGCCTGGAGGAAGTCAATCTCCTGGTTCAAGGAGTCCACTTTGCCATGCAGATCCATTCGGCCCATATACGAAGCATCCACATCCTGGCAGGGGAGGGGATAGGAGAGAGCAAAGGAGATGCTCCATTGACAGGGGTCTCATCTCTCTGGGCCAACCCAGCACCCTGGCAGCCAAAGGACCACCTCCTCAGTTCCCCACTCCCTGCTCACCTTCTTGAGCACCACAAACTCATTCTCCAAAGCAGTGCGCTTGTTGATTTCATCCTCGTACCTGTTATACAAGGAAGGCTCAGCCCAGTTCTGCCTGTTAGGCATTGGACCCTCCTGGCTTTAAGGAAGCCCTGATGGGTCCCCCATTGCCCAAGAATGCTTTTGGGGAGCAATTTTTGTTGTTTTTGTTTTGCAATACTGGAGAGGCCTTGTGGTTCCTGCTGATCTGAGGAGCCTACAATTCTCTGGTCACTTCATGTTAAGTTCAATCCTGTCACCTTGGCCTGAACCCAAGAGTGCTCTGCCACTGAGCTACCTCACAGACCTTTGTATTACATTTTGAGACAGGATCTCACCCTGTCATGCATCACCATGCCCAGCTTGGGAGCAATTCTTTAATGTGACTAATCAGTGAAAAAACTTGGGGTACTGTCTTTGTTTAAGCATTCTCTCTCCCAATCCCTTCCTGAGGAAAGGGACACAACTTTATGCAATAAATATGACAATCAACAGCAGCCATGTCTTTGGAAGAGAGCCCTGCAGAGGCTTTATAGGAGCAACCAAAGATGTGCCAAAATGGTTACCTTTGCATTCACTTTCAACAACTGGATGTCACTTCAAACAACCAAAGCCTCCATATCCATTTCTGTTGAGACTTTTAAGGCTGAGAAATTGCTAGTGTCAAGTTATGGAAAAACTTGTGACTTCAGGGTCTGGGGTTGTGGCTCAGTGGTAGATCACTCACCTAGCACAAGCAAGGCCCTGGGTTCAATCCTCAGCACCACATAAAAATAAATTAAATAAAGGTATTGTGTCCAACTAAAAAATAATTTTAAAAAAAATTGTGACTTCACATTATAAATACACATATCCACCATCCTCAATAAGTGAACCTTATTTGGAGCTCAGTTACAATGAACTGTATTTTTTAAATTTATGACATTCATGGAACAATTAAAAATTCAAAACTGTCTGGATGTTTGATGATATTGAGGAAAGAATATTTTGTGATTATAATATTATGTTCATGTTTTATTACATTAGGCAGGCAAACTATATAAATAGATCTAGTAAAACATTTGTGAATAAAATGATTTGATGACTGCAATTTCTTCAAGACAATAAGGAAGGAGGAGTGGGTAGAGGGAGAGATGAACTGAGATTGGCTCTGAGTCAATAATTATTAAAGTTGAATGGAACGTGAAGGTTCAATATACTATTCTCCCTACCTTATAGAAATGCTTTTTTTTTTTTTTTTTGGTACTGGGGATTGATCCCAGGGGCGCTTTACCACTGATCCCCATCCCCAGCCCTTTCTATGTTTTATTGAGAGATAGGGTCTCACTAAATTGAATAGGGCCTCATTAAGTTGCTGAGACTGGCTTTGAACTTGCAATCCTCCTGCCTCAGGCTCCCAAATTGCTGCAATTACGGGTATGTGCCGCCATGCCCAGATGCTTTTAAAAAGAAACATATTTTTAACTACAAACAATACACAAACTAAGTCACCAATTCTCCAGGCAGCAGCAGGTCCCAGAACTGAGCATCCGAGGGAAACAGGTAGATTCTAGAACCCTGGGAGTGGGAGGCTCTCTCCAGGAGATTCCCACACTGCCCCTTGCCCTAGGCCAGCCTGCCCAGTTCTCCTCACTTGTTCTTGAAGTCCTCCAGGAGATCTTGCACGTTCCTCAGCTCCAAGTCCAATCTCCCCCGCTCGTCCTGCTTGCTATCCAGCTGCCTCCGCAGGCTGCTCAGGTAGGCCTCAAAGATGGGCTCCAGGTTGTTTCTGGTGACACCCATGTTCTGGCTTTGCTCCTGCAGCAAAGCCCACTTGGTCTCCAGCACTTTATTCTGCTGCTCCAGGAAACGTACCTAAGCCAGAGAAAAGAAGGGTATCATCCTCTGGCCACAGGAGGGACTGAGGACAGGGACCACCACCCCCCTGCATCCCAAGCCAGCATCACAGTGGCAGAGCAGCAGCACTTGCACCCTGCTGAGGGGAGAGAGTCCTGAGGGGACAGAGTGCTGAGGGGAGCATCTCTGCTGGCATGACAGCCCCACCTGATGAGAAGGACTCTTAAGAATTAATAAACACAAGAGCCCCGGCTCAGACATTTACAGGTTGGCCTTGGTCACACCACTTCTCCCTTTCTTGCTTGTCCTGAGTAAAAAAGACCAGGTCAATTCTGAATTCTGAATCCTAATTCTACACCAAAATCAACCGTCAAAAATGCTGATAAGGCCAGGTACAGTGGTGCACTCCTGTAATCCCAGCAGCTCGGGAAGCAGGAGGATTGCAAGTTCAAAGCCAGTCTCAGTAACTTAGCAAGGCCCTAAGCAATTCGGTGAGACCCTGTCTCTACATAAAATATAAAAAAGGGCTGGGGATGTGGCTCAGTGATTAAGTGCCCTTGGGTTTAATCTCCAGTACAAAAATAAATAAATAAATGCTAATGATACACACACAAGCAAGAGAGAAAAATTGTGGCCAAATGTTGAAAACTACTAAATCTGAAAGCCTATGTAGGACTATTCTTGCAACTTCTCTGCAAATTCCTCATTTTTTATGTTTTTTGTTTGTTTTTTGGTTGGTTGGTTTTGGGGTTTTGGTGTTTTGTTTTTGCTTTTGTTTTTTTAATATCTATGCCTGGGACCAATTCTACAGGCCTAAAAGGAGGCTCAAAGGGTGGGTTAACAGCACTCCCCAGGAAGAGGGGACAGCTCTGCCCAGCCAGACTCTGAAACACCAGACACACATCTCTCACCCTCCAGTGACCAGGCAATGATTCTGGAAGCCCAAGAAAAGGTTTTGCCTATTTGACCCTTGGGACAGTCCCACAGAAGAACCAAAAGTCACTAGGGGAGAGAGCAAGGAGGTGGGCGGGAGGCCTTGCTTCATCCGAATCTGCCATCTCCTGTCTCTCCACCTCCACAGGGCCTGAGCCACTGTCACACCACAAGAGAGCTCCAGGTAGCAGGTGAACCTCTTGGTGCCAAGAACGATGGGCTCCAGTTCTGCCTCTGCCTTCGTGTACCTGTATGAGCCTGGGAAAATCCCTCAACCTTTGTAAACCTCAATTTTCTAATCTCAAAAATGGTACTGGCCCAGCACAATGGCACAGCCCTCTAATCCCAGCAGCTCAGGAGGCTGAGGCAGGAGGATTGCAAGTTCAAAGCCAGCCTCAGCAACTTAGCGAGGCCCTAAACAACTCAATGAGACCCTGTCTCTAAATAAAATATAAAATAGGGCTGGGGATGTGGCTCAGGGGCTAAGTGCCCCTGGGTTCATTCCTCAGTATCAAAAAAATGGTACCAGAGTCAGGGAACCACTGAGGGTATTGCATGAAAATGGGGATGTGAGTGTTCTTTGCGAAAGCACAAATCACTGGACCAAAGTACAGTTGTCCACCACATCTTTCCCCACTTCCAAGGCTCAGGGCCAAGAAAGACAAGGCCAAAAGGATGTACCAAGAAGTGCCAGAAAACAGTACAAGAGTCACCCCAGTCAGCCTGGAGACCAGAGAAGGATGCAGACACTCCCAGTCTGCAACAGTCCAAACTCCACAGCCTCAGGGCTTGGTAACCTGGTGACCACCCACCTCATTGTCCACCCCAAACTGAGCTTCTTGACTTCAGCAGGGAGCAGAAAAAGGAGAAGCAATGGAGGACTTCCCCTGAGACCCCCCAACTGTGTTCTGACCACATCTGGCCCTTAGGCCTCCTCCAAGCCTGAGAGAGCAGGGACAGACGGAGGCCAACCTCAGCTTTGGATAACTTGTTGAACTCCCGAGTCACGGTTTCCCCAGCTATAGAATGACAAAAATACAGTAAGGGCCACCATACTAAGAGGAGCAGCAAGGACTATCCAAGTTTTGATTCTGAGACAAGACTGCCATGTAGTTATATTAAGGATGACCATAGAGCTGGGACTGTGGCTGAGTAGTAGAGCGCTCGCCTGGAACATGCGAGGCCCTGGGTTCGATCCTCAGCGCCACATAAAAATAAATAAATAAAATGAAGGTATTCAATGAAGGTCCAACTACAACTAAAAAAATAAATATTTAAAAAAAAAAAAAGGATGACCATAATAAAGGCTCCCCCCCCCCCCCGCGCCCCATCACTGGGCTTGGCCAGGAGGCCTCATGCTTAGAATGAAGATTCTACAGAAAGAGGTGGAGGACCATCCCCATCCACATCTCAGCCCCAGGCTCAGGCCCAAGGAAACCAAATCCTCCCACCCAGCCCCACCCCAGTGTCTGCCCCTGCTCCCTCCCTTAGAGGCCCTGCATCCACACCATGCCCCCCACCTTGTCGATGAAGGAGGCGAACTTGTTGTTGAGGGTCTTGATCTGCTCGCGCTCCTGGGTGCGCACCCGCTGGATCTCTGGGTCTATCTCCACATTGAGGGGGGTCAGCAGGCTCTGGTTGACAGTGACCTCCTGGATCCCCCCTGGAGGACAAGCAGGCCCGAAGGTCTGCCTGCCAGCCCCCAGGCCCATGTAGGCCCCACTGCCAAAGCCGAAGCCCCCCAGAGCCCGGCCCGAGGAGGCCCCTCGGGCCACACTGACAGAGATGCTCTTGCTGCCTCCCAAGTTATAGAGGCTCCGGCTGCCAAAGCCACTGGTGCTGGGGCCACAGCGAGCCCCACCACCACCGCCACTGCTCCGGGACATTGTCACCGAGCTGAAGCTGGTGCGGGTTCTACACCCGCCCCCTCCACTGGCTGAGTTGGAGCTGAAGCCTCCTTTGGTTGAGTAGGTTTGCCGAGACAGGGAGGATCTCATGGCTGGCAGAGTGGCCGAGAGCAGGCTGAGAGCAGGAGGCAGCGCGGGAGCTGCTGGGCCACCAATGGCGTTTTTATCTTCTCCCAGCTGGGCTGGTTCCTGGGCTCCACACGCACCCCTGCCTCCTTGCCCCAGGAGGAGAGGGAGGGGCCATGGGCCTGGAGGGAGTCCCCTCTCCCCCAGCAGGCAGGAGGGGCCGGCCCCTCCCAGCCCTCACCTGTGCTCCAGAGCTGGGGCTGAGCAAGACTCTCCCCCTCAGGCAGTCCTCACTTAGAACAGGATGATAAGGGCTCCCACATCCACCCCCAACACCCAGTGGCTGACTGGTTCTCCTCCCACCCAGCCCTGGTGGCCTCAGTCAATGGGACTCTGTGTTCTGTGAGCTTCCTCCCAAGGCCCTGTTGTAAGCCAAGGCCCCAGGGCCCTCTGCTGTGCAGGTGGAAGGGAAGGAACGTTGGGCAACGGGCTGCTGAAGAGTGCCCAGGCCTGCTCCAGTCCCACTCCTGGCCCATGGGCAGCCTCCCTGTTGCCTCCTAGCAGGTCCTGGGTTGGGGGCACAGGTGACAGGGTGGCAGTCTGCTCTTTCGACTGGCAGATGTCTGTTGGGTAGAGATACTGTGTGGAACAAAGTGAATTCAAGGATATAAAGAGGCCCCTGCCCACCCATGGGCTGTGGGCACATGATGAGGGGTAGAAAGCTCTGGGGTCTTCAGGCATCTCCCTGGGGCCTGGGGTCACAGCACACTCTCCTGAGGACTGGATGTGGGTAAGGAGCTCCTGCCATCACCTGAAACCCCTGACTTTCTGCAGGTAGAATCTCCCTAGAAGGGTGCGGCCACTTTGGAAGGAGCTGAAAGTGGGTGAGGGACACCTCCCTTCATGGGTGGAAATACAGATCCCAGAACAACAGAAGCCCCCAAAAGCCTATGCAGCACCCCCATGAGTCCCCTCTTTCCCTGCCCGTCAAGAGCCCAAATTCTTGACTCAGAAGGGGCCAAGGGCATCCTTCAGCTGAGGATGTAGCTCAGTGGTGGAAACATCTGCATAGCACTGAAAAACATTAAAAATCACATAATCCCTTGCTCCCTACCCACCTCAGGCAACTCAAACCAAATCCAGCCCCAAGCAAAGCCAGGGAGACTCCAAACGTTAGGACTGTGGGCTGATTGAGGAGGTGATTTGGTGGCCCTCCTAGCCCCCTTCAGCTTTCAGCAATGAAAAAGGAAGAAGAGGAGAGTCCTCACACCCCACTGGGCTACAGCTGGGAGGCTCAGCCAGCTTGGCTCCCCGAGACCCCAAAAGAGAGGCATGGGACCCCAATGGAAGAGGCATTCTCTATTCCCCAACGGAAGGTAGATGGAGAGAAAGAGCCCTCCAGGCCCCAAGGAGCTCCCTGGAGGACCATAAGGGCTCCCTATTGTTTGAAGAAGTCAAGTGCAGCTCCCACGAGGAGTGAGGTAAGGCATCCACAAGACTAGACCCTAATGCCTGAGAGACTGTCTTGCCTGCTTGGAGTGAGGGTGTCAGACATTTACAGGAGCAGGGCTTAAAGACAAATGCCCACTAGCTCTGTGTCCTCAGGCAACTCTCAACCTCTCTGGGCCTCATCTCTTTGGCCTATAAGCATGGCCCACAGAAATCCTTTGGGAAAATGATGGCCTGTGAGCCCTAGACTGAGCCATCTCTTCCCACCGGCCTTTGACTCCTTTCCCCAGGCTGGGATCACTTTCTCAGCCTCCCTTATCTCTCCCTGCACACGCAGCGCAGCGTGGGAGGGAATATAGTCATGAACCAGCCTAGCCTCCAGGATGCGGCTGCCAGCCCCCTGGAGAGGGAGTGATGTCAGTCCTCTGAGTCACCATGTTGCTGGGGTGGTGGGAGTGGGAGTCGGGTCGTAAACACAAATATACCCCACCCCAGAGACTGACATTCACTCCAAATACACCCCACCCAGAGAAACACTCACTCACGCAACTCATTCACAGCCGTACCACGCACGCCGTCTGTGCCAGGTTTTGAGCTGGAAGCTAGTGACAGGTGCACAGGCCACCCTGGCCCACTCTTCACGGAGCACACAGCTGCTCAGGAGATAGCCTCCCGCACACCCAAGCAGAGCCATGCATGGGCCAGACCAGACAGAGGAGTGGGCAGCCCCTCTGCCTTCCCCAGCACCACCCCCCACTCTACTTTCAGACATCCTCACCCACACCTTCCTTCTGCTCCCTCTTAAAAAGAAAAACTCAGACTTTTAAGATTAGTAGAATTTATTTGAGCAGTCATAAACAGAACAAAGTAAAACCAAACAAACAAACAAAAAAAAAAACCCAACCAGTGAATTGGACAGACCTCAGAACCAAAGCAGCTTCAGAGAACTCCGACCACTGACGTGAGCCAACAGCACTTACAGGAAACGGAAGGGCACTGTAAAGACAGCTTAACTGGCTCCGGCTTAAATGGTTAATCATTTAGAGTGCCCCCCACAATTAACTAGAGGTCAGATATGGTAATTAAACTCCATATTGGGCTGGTCTCTTTCAAATCAATGGCCTCCCACAAAGATTATTTAACAAGCCCAGGGAAGAGCAGCTTCCTCCCCTCCATTTCTCCATAAGAGAGAGCTGCTTGTTACCAAGGTGCTCTAGGTCCGGAGACCAAGGCACTCACTGCCCAAAGTCCTTCCCAGCCATCAGGAGGCGAAAACAGATTCCATGCTACTATTGCTGCTGCCAAAGGAATGCAGCAAAACACCTGCTCACAGCAACTGAGACCCTAGTGTGGGCCGGGGGTGCTGAGCAATAGGGAAGACACAGGAGTGAGGAGTCCCCAGGGAGAAGTAGAACTTTCTGCTAATCTAGTAATAATCATTGTAGTCCGCATTTATTAAGCACTGGCTACATGACCCAAAGTGGCCTAAGCATTTCCTGTGGGATAGCATGGTTATTCTCTATACTAGTTATGCTCCATTCGCTTCCTTCCCACCCCGGAGCTATTCTCTACCCTCCTCTCCTGCTGTGGGATGCTCCCCTGCTCTTTGCCCTCCAGTAGAGTTGACCAAAGGGAGAGGAAACGGGAAGGAGGGAGAGAGAGAGGGCAGGTACTATTCCCCTCTTCCTCCTTCCTTCCCCTCTGGGATTACGGCTTCCAGAGATCCCCTCTCATTTCCTGCAACTCTGTATCTGTCTTCTCTTGTCCCTTCAGCTCCACACAGGGCAACCACCTCCTTTTGATTTTCCCAGGACCGTGCCAGGTTCAGTACTGCACGTCCCCTCCGTACTAGACAATCTGGGGTGGTTGAGCACCCTGGCTTAGGGGTGGTAGAGGCTTCCCAGCTTCCAGCTGGTGCTTGTCTCCGACCCCCTGGTTCTCCAGGTCCAGCTACAGAGTCATGGTCTCACCCCTTCATGCCTCCCTCACACGAAGCTTGGGTCATTTTAATGGAGAGATCCACGGAGCTAAAGAAAGGGCTTCCCTCCCCCTAATGCAGGGCGAGGAGTGGTGTGATGCCCCACGGCACAGGTATGGAGTTGACAGATGAGCCAGGTTCCCACTTTGGTCTGAAAGGGAACAAGGGGCAGGAGCAATGGCAGAAGCCACCTGACTGCCAGGGGAGGTAGAGAAACGTCCTCCCAGCCCCTGCTAGCCCCAGCCCTGCCTCCCACACTCCCAGCTTCCAGCAGAGCTTCCTGAAAGAGGAAAGCAGGGGAGGTTTTCAGCTTCATGTTCAGACAGGCTTGAGGATGGGATGGAAGCCTAGAGAGAGGGTAGGGGCATAGTTTCAGCCCCTGGTCCCCAACAGAGCCCCAGGCGGGAGCTAAGCTGAGATCCCCTTCCTAGGGGCAGAAGAAGCTTCCCAGAGGTCCCAGGCCAACAGAGAAGCTGAGTCCCCAACTAACCAGACAGACACAGAGCTCAGGACAGCAGCAGGTGCAACCTGAATGTGTTGGGGACAGGAAGAGTTCCGCAGGGGAATTCAGGAAGATTTCCTGGAGGAGAAATATTGGGTCATTTTGATGAAAAGACCCATGGCATCCCTTGGCAGCCCCACCCACACCTCCATAAGCAATCCTATCATTCAAGTCAACTTAGCTCTCCGATCCTCACTACCAGAATGACAAAGAAATGTCATCGTGAGTGAAGTGTACAAGTTCGGGGCAGGGATGAATGGCTGGAAAGAGTAGCAGAGGAGCTGCACATTGCCACAGGGAAACTTCATCTCTGCCCTCCAGCCTCCCCCAAATGCCCTTGAACCCATATGTGAGGCTGTTACTTAGCATCTGTGTTCAATTATTGACCTGCCTGGGCATTCCTGTCCGGGAGGGCAAAGGCCAAGTTAAGATCAGAGATGAGAGAATCAGGCTTGCCACCCTGCTTAGACCTGGTGTGGGGGGTGGGGGCATCACTGGGAGGGGACTGGAAGAAAAGACGGGACACAAAAGGACTTTCCACACGTCCTCATTTCCCAGCACAGGAGATCTGAATTAGTCACAGGAGGCCTGCCCTCTGACCCTGAAGCCAAGGGCTCTGAGAATGAAGATCTGGCTGTCGGAGGTGGGAGGGATTATGCTGGATATCCAGAAGTAGGGAAAAACACAGTACCCAGTGCTTGCCAGAGTAGCCCCAGTCCCATGGCAGCACCTTAAGTATTGTTTGCCCTGTGTCAAATTGGGGGGAAGAAGAGAGGGAGATGAGAAATCAGGGGAGAGATAAAAGAAGATACACCAGGGAGAACTGGATTCTGTGCCATTTCACAGAGGCCTAGAGGGGGCTTGCAGTAGGTGGGTAAAGAGGACAAGAGAGAGCACTCTTGGTTCCAACCTCCAGTGTCTGGTGAGTGGGTCTCAGGCCTCCCCTCTCCTGCTAAAAGACAAGCTTTGGAATGGAGATGTAGCCTGGTCAAGCCCAGCCGGGAGATTTTCCCGCTCAGCCTGAAGGCCACGGAGAAAGGAGAGAATATGGTCAGCTGGCTGGAGGACCAGGCACAGGGCACTGTGACTTGGGATGGGCAGCATGCAAATGAGATGTAAATAAGTATGCAGAGCAAGGCCAGCCAGGCTGAGCACTCAGAACAGCAGGTGGGTGGGACTTTATTGACTGTCTTCAAACCCGCATAGGCTGGTTTGAGCTGCAGGCAGTGAACATGGAGTTGACCATGCAGAGCTGGGGGATGAGATGGGAGCTGATAGGTTCAGGAGGGAGGAGCTGTGTCACTCAGTATGTGATGGACGTCTTCACACTTGACTCTACTGTTTTCTTCAGGATGGTACCGCGGCTAGAGCAGGAGCCAGAGCCAGAACCAAAGCCAGAGCCGGACACAGAGCAGGAACCCAAAGCAGGTCCCTGTCCAGAGCCCCAGTTGGCACTGAAGCCTCCTGTCACAATGCTGGAACAGCCGGACCCAAAGCTGCCTCTCCCGCCTCCGGGTCCTCTGAGTCCACAAGTGCCCACCTGGCCATCACCAACTCCTCCAGACACCACGGCACTGCCTCCCACAGTCGCTGCCAAGAAATGTACCAGGGTCAAAAGCAGGGTCATCAGTGCCCCATGGGAATACCACTCTCAAAGTCCCCAGATACTCACAGATAGTGACCTGGTTGCTGCATTCCCCTGACATCCTGGGCATGGGGGGGAAAACAAAAGGAAGAAATGCTAAGGAAATCTGCAAAGAATGCATCCCCAGGTGTTAAGCCTCTAGGAGCAGCTCACCTATCCTCTCAGCATACAAAATCCAGTCCCCAATTTAAAATCCCTCCCAGCAGAGTCAGTTGCTCTTAGCAACTCACAGTGTCAAGAAATCTTTCATAATCTACCCCTCCTTTTTTAATACTGGAGATTAAACCCCCAGACACTTTACCACTGAGCCCATCCCCAGGCTTTTTTATTTTTTATTTTGAGACAGGATCTCACTAAGTTGTTTAGGACTTTGCTAAATTGCCAAGGCTGGCCTCAAACTTGCAATCCTCCTGCCTCAGCCTCCCAAGTTGCTGGGATGACAAGCATGCTACACTGTACCCGGCCTCAGAATTCCCTTTAGCAAGGAGAGCATTTTGTTGGCATTCCATCCTCCTCCTCCACCCTATCACATATTCCCAGGTCCCTTCAAGCTGCCCCACCAGTACTCCTCTCCCTCCAGCAGCCTGTGGTAGGTGGCGATCTCCACGTCCAGAGCCAGTTTTGTGCTCATGAGTTCCTGGTACTCCCGCAGCAGCCGGGCCATGTCCTGCTTGGCCGTTCTCAGAGCACCCTCCAGCTCGTCCAGCTTGGCCTGAGCATCCTTCAAGGCCAGCTCCCCACGGTGCTCAGCGTCAGCAATGGCTGATTGCAGGTTGGCATTCTAGAAAGCAGTAGAAATGAGAGAGAAAGTAGCTGTAAGTCCAACACAGCATCCCAAAGAACCCACTGTGGATAGAGCTGGAGGAACATCAGCCTCATGAGCTCAAAATTATCCATGACTGCCCCACTCCCCATAAGGAACAGTATAGCCTCCAATGCTTTCTTAGTTCCTGCAGGGAGTTCAATAGAGTCCCCCAATCTTTTCCTGCTTCCAGAACCTCAGGATATGACTTATTTGGAAATACAGTCTTTCCTGATTTAATGAGTTAGGATCTCATGATGATATCATACTGTATCTAAGGTAATAACTAAAACAGTGGCTGGTGTCCTTATCAGAAGAGGAGAGGACATAAATACAGACACAGAGAAGAGGCTGTGTTGAAACAGACACAGAGATCAGAATTATGCAGCAATAAAACATGGAAAGTAGCCAGGCGCCGTGGTGCACACCTGTAATCCCAGTGACTTGGGAGGCTGAGGCAGGAGAATCACAAGTACAAGGCCAGCCTCAGCAACCTAGAGAGGCCCTAAGCAAGTTAGTGAGACCCTGTCTCAAATTAAGAAAAAAAAAAAAAAAAGGGTGGGGGCTAGGGATGTGGCTCAATGGTTAAGCGCCCCTGGGTTCAATCCCTGGCTTTTAAAAAAAAAAAAAGGAAAGTTAAAGAATCCCTGGAGCCACAAAAAGCTAGAAAGGACCTCTCCATCCCCAGCAGAACCTTAATAAATCACCATGATTTCAAACTTAGAGGCCCCAGAACTGCAAAAGAATAAATTTATGTTGCTTTAAGCTGCCAAGTTTGTGACAATTTGTGCAGCTGCCTACGAAACTAATACTACTCCCTTGAGCTCAAGAGATCCTTCCCATTTATTTCCCCCCCAACCATGTAAAGGGCTCCTGTCCTGTATGGGCCTTTATCCTCAGGTCTCATCTTGAGGGCAGCCAGGGTTCATAAGTGGCTGGGGACAGCCCTGTTACAGTGTTCTGTCAAACCCTTTGCCCTGAGTTTCCATCTGAGAAGCAGCCTCTGCATGTGTTTTCCAATTAGTAGGGGACCCAAGGAAGGACAGGCTCCCTGACTCATCAGCCTCCCATCCAACTAAGAAGGAAGGGGTTCCCTAAAGGCACTGTTCCACCCCCAACAGGGACCACCATGGGAACGTCATCTCCACTCTATCCCTGAAGAAGCTGAGACTCAGAAAGGTAAAGGGTAGCAGAGTGGGGACCCAGTGCCAACCTAGGGCAACTGGCATCCAGCACCTGGGACCTAGCACAAGAGCACCGAGGCCATTAGGCTTGCATAGAAAAAGGAAAAGGGCACTTGATCCCCAAGAGGGAACTCTCAAGAAATGCTCATGCCTTTGCATGAGGAGCCATGATTTCCAGGCCTGAGCCCCTGCTAGACACTCCTCAGGGCTGGCCCTGGAAAGACCTCTGGCTTCAGAATCAGTGGTGGACTTGATTAAAAAGCAGGAATCTGGACCTCACGCTTGGAGATTCTGATTCCCCAGGTCTGCCTGGGAGCCTGGAATCTGTGTCATATAGATACCCCAGGGGATTCCACAGCAAGGGTCCAAGTCCTTTGGGAAAACATGGAAGCAACAAATTGAGCACTAGGACCTGTCCTATGCCTCTCAACCTCATCTCATTCCAGAAGACAGCTGTGAGGATGTTTGGGATGAAGTAAGTGGCCTGCCAATGCTCCAAGAACCAGCCCCCGGGGAACCTGCCTGGGAGTGTGACTTGATCATCAAACTGCCCTGCTTAGAGAATCCACCTGCCTCTGGCTTCTGCTCACCACCCTCTGTGGGTCCCAAAATGTATTCTTTGGCTTTGGGAAATACAAGTGCAAAGACTTGAGTGCTTTTTAAATCATAACCCTTCCCAGCTAAGAGTGAGCTTTCTGCAAGGAGCAGGGCACCGCAGCCCTCCCCATATCCTGCCCTCCTCCCCTCAGAAGCTTGTGAGGCCCCTGCCTAAGGAGGGCTCAGCCCCCACCTGACCATCACCCATCTTGCCTTTCTCTGGGCTCTCACTGTCCCCAAAAGGGGACAAGGAAATTCAGTAGTTGACCATAAGTGCCTGCTTGGTTTGAGGAGTAAAAGTCAAAAGAAGAGATGGGAAAAGAGATTCAGAAGCCAAAAGCAAGATGTCCACCTGGATGTGGTAACAGTCCCCCTGGGGTTTTTGCATGCAGGGGCCCTTTCCTGAAAAAGTCAACAAACAGCCTGGAGGAGGCAGAATTCATCCCAGAGGATACGTGGGGGTCTCTCCACCCCAATTACCCTAAGCCCCATCCGGGTACCAAGGCTTCCCACAACCCACACGAGTCTAGCCAGGAAGAGCCTGGGACCTGGGGAGAGCCAAGGCACAAAGCAGTGAGCCAAGGCCCTGGGAGCCTGACCTGCTCCTTGAGACTGGCGATCTGACTCTGCAGCCTCTTGATTGCTTGCTGCAGCTGGGACATCTGGACCTTGGTTTCCTTCATGCTGTCCCCATGAAGCTGGGCCGATGCCTGAAGCTCCTTGTACTGAGGGGAAGAGGGGAGACACCAGTGGTTGAGCAGACCACCCCCTTAACCCCAACCCCCTAAACCCCACCTCCCAGCCTTTGGAGATGTCTCTTCACATCCTCATCTTCCAGATGTGGGTTCACTGCTTGAGACCAGGACATAGCAGTTGTGCCTACGGAAGCCCAAGCTTGTCTCCGACAATTGCCTTGCAGAGGATATGCTCCTGCCCACCCAACCCTGGACCTTCAAGGAGGTTATCAGAACTGCCCCAATGGAACCGAGATGGGTGACCACCCTAGGGAGCAGACATGGAGACCCAGCCATTTCCAGCATCATGCCATCCCCCTGGCCCCAGCACCTTGGTCTGATACAGGGTCTCAACCTCAGCCTTGCTGTTCTGGGTGATCTCCTCGTACCGGGCGCGGACCTCGGCAATGATGTCATTGAAGTCCAGGCAGCGATTGTTGTCCATGGACAGAACCACAGATGTGTCACTTGCCTGGATCTGCAGCTGGCCCAGCTCCTACAGGGAGGACTGACTCAGTGGCCACCAGTTCCCTCTCCCCTGGAACCCCATGTGGGGGAGGAGGCCTGAGTTTCTTCCCACATTTTGTCAACTGGCCATCCTCACTCAATCTTAGTGGCCTTGCATATGTCCTGCCCTCTGAGGGCCTCAGTCTTTCTTCCCTCTTGAAAATAAGGCCATAGGATGGATGGTCTCTAGTAACCCTTGAAGCTTGACCATTAAAGGAAATGGTGTTCAAGACCCAAAGTCACCTCCTCTGCCCTTTATCACTGTCCTGCCCACATGCTCCTACTTCTCTCCAGCACATGCCCCCCTTGCAGGGGCCACGTGACATAGCACACCAGGCTATGGGCTGAAACCTTTGCCCACAATCCCAGAAACCCTCCTTCATGAACTTCTTCACCTCCTTCAAACCTTCACTCTAACTTTACCTCCTTATGAGGGCTATTTGAAATCACCATCTGCCCCACATTCCCAACCCTCCTTTCTCTATCCTCCATTGCGTTTGTCACCTTCTGTCATACTGCACAATTATTTACAAGCCTAGTGCTTACGTCTGTCTTCCAAAAGAAAACAAGCTTTGTGGGTTTTGTCTGGTTATTCATTGATGTACCCCTGGTACCTAGCAATCCACATAGTAAAAGTTTTCAATAACTGATTGTAGAATGACTGAATAACCACAAATCTAAGCCACCCTAAATGGCTTCTCCTCCTGGTCACTCCCCACATGGCCACAGGGAGCCTGCCCACCCTGTCCCCTTTATCGCTCCCACCTGCCCTTGGCAGATCCTCACCTCTTCATACAGACGCTTCAAGAAGCAGACGTATTCTCTCAGAACTTCCAGCTGGCCTTCCAACTCCATCTTGCTCAGGAAAACCCCATCCACGTCCTGGAGACAGGAAGACAGAAATCACGCATCTCTTACTTTCTCTTTGTGAACTTTACACTGGCTTAGAATTCTGGGCACCCACTGCCCAAAGCCACTTTCCAGATGCTTCTTGCTTCCTCCTCCAGCCCCATCCTGGCCCGCTCTCTTCTTTGCCCTACTCTGGCCCATGCTGCCTTCTGGAAGCTTCCTTGATTGACTCCACTCCTTCCCCACCCACTCTTTCACTGACACCCAGAGCTCATCACTTAGGGCTTCAATTGGATCTTGTCTTGGAGTCCCTTTTCCCAGGGAGTGGGGGGTCTGCAGGTAGGGTGGGTGGTGTCCTCACTCAGGACTTCCACCCTCTGCTTCCCAGTGTAGGAGCAGGCTCCATGCACAGTAGGGCTCAGGGTCTGAGTGGAGCTCTTGACACCCCCTCACCTTCTTGAGGACCATGAAGTCATTCTCCACGGTGGCATGCTTGCGGGCCTCCTCCTCATATCTGCCAGGTAGAGAAGGACAGTCAGGTGCCAGGCCAGAGCCCAGGGCCCTGCCTCCCAGCATGCACTTCCTGAGGAGGGCTCCCCTGCTTTAGATGGTCCAAAGCAGAACCAGTGACCAGCCCCCTTCTCTGCTTTCCTGCCAGGAGGCTCTGTCACATCCTAGCTATGTTCCTGTGCCACTCTTCCAGCTCATGTCCCTGTGACAACAGGCCACATTACTTCACAGTTCCTGGGGCACATTCAAGTGCCTGTTCTCAGTTATTATTCACACCATCACCTGCAATAGGCTGTTTGGGTTTATCAGGGGGAAAAGACTTAGCCAGGGTCCCACTGATGATGAGCCTGCCATAGCAGATCTAGAATCCAGGTCCCCTTGCCCAGTCCTGGGCTCCTTCCAGCCCTTCTTCCTCCTCCTTAGAGCCCACTCCCAATAGCTCTGGGAGGTAAGAAAGGTGGATAAACTTTTTCCAGTGCATGGATATGAAAAATGAGGCTGAGAGAGGTATATGGCTTGCCAAGGCCACACAGCTAGTCCTTGTCACAGTCTCTCCACCCATGCCTCCTGCCAGTCAATGGTGGTGCTCCTCACCACCAGGTGACCTATCTGGGAGCCCAGAACCACAGCCCGACTGTGAATCATGCCCTGGGCCTGGGGATAATCCCAATAAATTGATTTCCTTCCACCCCTGAGACAGAGAACATCTGAGTCACTTTAGCCCACAGCCTGCTAAACAGGAATTTCTTTAAAAAAAAAAAAAAAAAAAAAACCTACTGAGGCATTGTTTAAATAGCTCTTCCCATCCCAGAAACATGGGCCCTCACAGCTGGGGCCTAGAGGAAATGGGCCTGGACCCACCGGAAACAGATCACCCTGACCTTCCTCTGAGTCTCTCCAAACCTGGGTGGAGGTGGGGGCTGTGGGGTCTCCACTCCCTGTAGCAGGTGGGGCCCTTATGAGTTAGGGAAAAGGGAACGCAGAGCAGAAGAGGGAGGACAGTCATGTCCTCTAGGCACAGGCTACAGACCACTCGGGTCCTCTCCTCGCAGACCCCAGGGGGCGACGTCAGTACCTACTTGGCCTTATGCTCCTCCTCCTGGTCCTGGCAGGCCTTCAGCTCGGCATCCAGAGCCCCTCTTTCTCTCTGCAGCTGCTCCAGCTGCCTCCTGAGATGTGCCAGGTAGTCCTCAAAGACAGGCTCCAGGCCCCGGGGGCTGTCACTCACCTCCAACTGCTGCAGCAAGTGCCACTTGGTCTCTAGGACCTTGTTCTGCTGCTCCAGGAACCGCACCTGCAACCCAAGCATGGGGTCCCTGAGGCTCCTGTGGGACTCCTCAGGCAACCTCTGGAAAGTAAAGCTTCAGAGGCCTTCCTGTCAGCACCCTGTGTCAGCCTTCCAAGCCTGGTGGCCTTTCATCAGAGCCTGGATACATCAAAATGATTGGACAGTCTAACAGGGAAGGGTCTTCCCAGCAGCCTGGCTATTTCCTGTCCCTGAACCCCAGCCATGGAAAACAGGGCCTCAGCAGAACCAGGCCACAGGGGGACTTCCTTGTTGTGGAATTGACTAGAAAAGTGATAGAAAAAGGTCTGATTTCCCCATTCTCAGTCCATCAAGAGCAGCTCCTCTGAGGGAGGGGGGAAGACAGTTCGAGTTGACCCTCACCTTGTCAATGAAGGAAGCAAACTGGTTGTTGAGGGTCCTGATCTCCTGGGTCTCCTGCGTCCTCACCACCTGGAACTGGGAGTCAATCTCAATCTTCAGTGGGGTCAGCAGATTCTTGTCGATGGTCACTTCTTGGATGCCCCCAGGAGGGCACAGGGAAAGCCCAGGCCCCCCACTCCCCTGCCCAAACCACACCCCCTGCCTTCCCCTCGACCCCCAGGCCCTCCCACGAGAGGCCCCTCGGCAGCCGACAAAGGAACTGAGGCTCCTGCTGCTGAAGCTGCCCTTGCTGCGACCCCCTGAGAGAGCAGAACAGGCCGAGTGAGCGCTGAAGCCCCTCTTGGCCCTGCACGGGGAAAGAGACATGGCAGAGACAGTCGCACAGAGGCAGACAGACAGACAGATGGTCAAGGTGTGTGTGTTTCTGCCCTAGGGCCCTGGCACGAGACTTTTATCCCCTCCCGTACCTGGGCTGGGCCTTGGAGAGCAAGATGCTCTCTGCCTGACTGTGTCTGTCACTTGGCTGCAGCTGACCTACTCTGACACACCTGGAGAATAGATGTTTCGCACGTGCAGAACTCAAGGAAGAAGGAGACCCAGGCCCTACCCTGGGAGCCCCTGGGCGGATGGGACAGACTGGCCTGCCCTAAAGTCAAGGAAGCAGCTGTGGACCTGGAATACAGTGCTGAGGATGGGGAGGGACGTCCCCAAGCAAAGGCACAGAGGCCATTCAAGGAAGGCTTCCTGGAAGAGAAGGGGAAGGAGAGGAAGGAAGAGGGGGTCAGATGAGGCATGAGAGTGCCCTGGGGTGGCCAACACAGGAGAATGCAGCTTCTAAAAGGAAGCTGTAGCTTAAGGAGGCCTAGGAGGAAGGCACAGTGGAGCCAGGAGGTGAACAGAGGTAGAGATGCCATCATGAGCTCAAAGACACTTCAGGATTTGGAAATGACAGAAAAGCAGGGTGTCCCAGTCCCTCCTCTTTCCCAACCCAGTAATCATCCATGAGGCACCACCCGCTCAAGCAGGTAGCTCCAGCCAGGATGGCCTGGATCCGTGCTTCTGAGCCCAGCCTGTGTCCCTGTCCCTCCCACAAGCACGATGCCAGGCCCATCCACCTGAAGCTGGCTCTGCACATCCAGGATACACATCAGAGGCACCCCGTCTCCAAAATAAAATGAGCATTTAGAAGGCTATTCTTGGAGGACCAGGAGCAGAAACAGCTGATGTGGGGTTCCTCACAGGATAGACTCTGTCTCAGAGCAGAGAGATTGGCCAGCGGAGAAGCACACGGGCTTCACCTCCCACCCCAGGCAGGATTCCCAGGGGAGGGCACCCAGCTGCTGCACTGAGGCTTCTCCCTGCCAGCCAAAATAACTGGATGGCCCTGATTCTTAGGAATGTCTACAATTTCCTTACATGGCGAGAGGGCTATTCCTCCCTGTTCTAGAACCTGGTGCATTCTAAAGAATGAAAATGCAACTCAAAGTTTGATAATGCAACTCAAAGTTTGATAATGCAACTCAAAGTCAGGACAGACAGAGACTCAGCACACTGGATGATCAAGAGAGATGTTATGAGGAAGTCAATCCTGCAGATGCTCCAGCCTGAGGCCCAAGGACTGTGGATGTGTCTGAAGCCCCTTCCTCTTTCCCCAGATCCCCTGGATGACACTGAAGGGGAACAAAGGGCTGGTGAGAGCAGAGCAGTCCAAGGAATGAGGGGTCAGATAAAGAAGAAGAGAGACAGGAAGGATCCAGGGGGTGGTGAGCAACCCCAGGGAGAAAGCTGCATGAAGCTGCCCCAGAGTCAAAAAGGGAGAGCTGGTAATGGCTTGGATTCCACTGAGGACCCAGCTCCAAACCCTACCCCTGGGGACTGCTTTCCAGAGGCAAGTTGGGGACCTGCTCTCTGGGTCTGGAATGTGCTTGGGAAAGGGCTGCATGAACTAAACTCTACCACCCTGCCTTCTCCGAGTTCAGAGAGAAAGACAGAAGTCATACTTGGCATGGGACCAAACCCACCTCCACGGAACTTCCCCATATCTGTAATATTACTGGATATTCGAACCGGAAGGGAGCTTCAGTGTCATCTGAGCCAATGTTTTTGTTTTATACTTAAGGACTCTGAGGCCCCAGAAGGTGAGGGGTGAGGGACGGAGACTGCGTGTCCTTGGGTAGACTTCAAGTTTCCTCAGATGACCTCTAAATCTGCTTTAGCCCTCACTCTGGGATCTAAGGCACTTGCTCAAGGCCACTACACAGAGACTCAGGCTGGAGCCATCACCCCCACCCAGCTCAGATCATAACCCCACAGAGCAGCCCACAATGAACCTCCTCCCTCTTCCTCATACCTACCCTTCAAATTTTTGTGAGAATACCACAGGACACTAGATCATAACTACAGAGTCCAGTCTACCACTCTGTCCCACTCAGGGTCTGAAACACACTAGGCATCAGTAAGATTTGTTTCAAGAGATGAATTCTGAACCATTGACAATCATACCAAGAGACCTTCTTGAATCCCCAGATTTGCAAATGCTACCATACCAGATACCTCCCCTGTGAAAAAATTAGTTTAAAAGATCATGTAGTTGCAACCACTGTAGAGATCCCTCAGGAAACTTGGAATGGAACCACCATTTGACCCAGTTATCCCACTCTTTGGTATATAACCAAAGGATTTTAAATCAGCATACTACAGGGACACAGCCACATCAATGTTTATAGCAGCTCAATTCACAACAGCCAAACTATGGAACCAACCTAGTATCCTCCAGTAGATGAATGGAAAAAGAAAATGTGATACATATACATAATGGAATATTACTCAGGCCATAAAGAAGAATGGAATTATGGCATTTGCTGGTAAATGTGAGACTATCATGCTAAGTGAAATAAGCCAATCCCCCCCCCAAAAAAAAAAAGTCTGAATGTTCTCTCTGATCTATGGATGCTAACCCATAATTAGAGAGGGTAGGGAAGAGAAGGATAGAAGTTTACTGGATTAAACAAAGCGGAATGAAGAGAAGGGAGGGGGATGGGAATGGGAAAGGCAGTAGAATGAATTTGGACAAAAACTCTCCTATGTACATAGATGAATACACAAACAGTGAAACTCCACATCATGTACAACCACAAGAATGGGATCCTAATTAGAATGAGTTATACTCGTGTATGTATGATATGTCAAAACACACTCTACTGTCATGTATGTCTAAAAAGAACAAATTTTTTATAAAGACCCTGCAGTGAAGGAGGGAAAGACCCAACAGTCTGGAGATTGAACTGCGCCCCTCACTGGCTGGGTGATTCCTTCTAGCACACAAAGGAGCAGGAGAGACCAAACCGTGCGGCAGTGAAATGACAAATGGCTCAAGCTGCAAAATCATGGTAAAACCAACAGAGCTGAAGTTCTCCCTTTCCTCGTCTTCCCTTCTCTCAGTCCACCATCCCCCACCACACCCCTGCTCTGCAGCCCCCCCACCCCCAGCTGCTCCCTGCTCCAGGACAGGCCCTGGCCACAGCTACAACTCCCTGACTTCTTTCTGTCTAATTGTTCTCAACCTGTTCTTGTTTGTACATGAGATTTGTTTCTTTTTTGCCCAAATACCACTGGTATATCTGAGTCAATCAAATATAGTTGGGCACCTACTATGTGAAGGGTGCTGCGCTGAAAATTAGAAATTTAGCAGAGACCCAGGCTCAGCCCCTGCACCAAGGAACCTGGGAGTCTGATGAGGAAACATATGAAATAGGTAATTAGGCAAGTCTTCAATTGTAATTATGATAAGGAGAGAAAAGTGCAGAGCATGAAGAAGGCCTAACCCAGTTCACTCCTTCATTTATTCTTGAATATTCCAGGAACACTCTGCCTCAGGGCCTTTGTTCTTGCTATGATAGCTCCTCCCAGCTACCCACACAGGCTGCTCCCTTGCCTCCCTCATCTCTGACTGCCCTCCACCAATACTGCAACTAAGGCCATCTCTCCTCTGCCACTTCTTAGGCCCTTCCTGGCTTTATTTCTTTCTACTTAACACCTATCCCTTCCTAAGATGCCCTGAATTTTAGGATTCATTTTGTTGATCAGTCTCCCTGCTCTAGACTGTGAACTCCTTGAGGGCAAGGACTTTGTCTCTTTGGCTCACTTCTGTATTCTCTAATTGCCTTGTGTCCAGTAGGTGCTCAATAAAAACTTGTTGAATGAACAAATCTCTATTGGGTCTCATTTTGCTGATTCCTTGCCATCTTCCAGCCTCTGCAGATCTTTGTAAATCTCAATTCTCATCTCTGAAGCATTAGTCATCCCTCCTCTAACCCCACCTGTCCACCTAAGCTGGGAAGTGTTCATACATTTGAGAAATATGGTTATGAGTGTATATGTGTGTACACATGTGTATTACTGAGCATCTATTATTAGCTGCACACTGAGCTGAGGGGTACAGGAGATATATGATGGATCCCAACCGAAAGAATATCCAGGCCCATGCAAGGAACACACAGCTCCCAAGAGGAGCTGCCCTAGTCAAGGCCTGTGGGCATGATGGTGGAAAATTCCTCTCTTCACTTTGAGCCCATAGTGTAATCTTGGGGGAAAGTGAGGGAAGAGTCCTGTGGCACACCCTGAGAAACCCTCCTTCTAGTTGGGAATCCACCCAGTTGTGCTTTAATTCAGACCCCATTTTCCCATCTTGCCTGTAATAGGTTGATGTCTCATTGAATCCTAGAGAGCCTTTGTCAGGCCTATAGTAACTATCAAGATAATAATAATGTCAGCGAGCAATTTTTTTTTATTTTTTATTTTTTTAAAATAGTTATGCATGACAGTAGAATGCATTTATGCACTTTGATATACCATACATAAATGGGGCATATCTTCTCATTTTTCTGATTGTACATGTTGTAGAATCAATCATGCAGTCATACATGTACATTAGGCAATAATGTCTTTCATTCCACTCTCCCTTCCTTTCCCTCTACCTAATCTAAAGTAACTCTACTCTTGCCTAGTGTCCCACCCCCAACCATTGTGAATTAGCACCTGCATGGCCTTTGGTTCTCTGGGATTGGCTTAGTTCACTTAGCATGATATTCTCCAGCTCCATCCATTTACCAGCAAATACCATAACTTCATTCTTCTTTAAAGCTAAATTCACATGCCAACTTTACAAATATTAGGCATTTAACCCTAACAACTCTATGAAGCCGGTACTATTATCATCACCATCTAACAGAAGGGGAGGCTCACAGAAACAACAAATAATTGCCCAAGGCCAACCAGCAATTAAACAGCAGAGCCAGGATTTGGACACAAGTAGTTAGGCTCCACAGTCTTTGCCCTTAAACACCACACTGTGCTCTTCTCAGAGACCCAGGAATGTGAGTGTTAAAGAGGAGAACTAGAAGGACTTAAAATCAGCATACTATAGTGGCATGACCACATCAATATTAATAGCAGCTCAATTCACATGTGTTCCAAGCTATGGAACCAACCTACATG